GTGTGTGTGTGTGTGTGTGTGTGTGCACCTGTGTGTGCAGCAGCTGGTTCAGCGCTCTCAGCAGTTCGATGGTGAATTTCAGCTGTTCCACAGTCAGCTGGTCGGTGTTGTGCATGGACCTGCTGAGCTGCCGTAACTTCCTGTTGAGGTGGCCGAGGCTCCTCTGGTGGGCGTCGCTCTGTGAGCGCAGCTGGGGCACAGAACAGGAAGTGTCAGAATGACATTAGAGATCGTCTGACGCAATTTTGTTTTAGGGTCATGTGTTTGTTCACCTGCAGCAGTTTAAATAAAGCTCATCCAAAGATCATCCTGATGATGACCTCAAACAGACCGAGTGGAAACTCATTTACAGACAAAGGTGGATTTCAAAATAAAAGTCTTTCATCATCTGCAGAAATGAAAAAAATAACCTGGTTATGACGAAGGACGCCATAAATAAAAACTCTGCGTCAAGACGTTCAAGGAGGAAACAGATCAGACAACTGCAAGCTAACTGTGGTCTGCTCTAACAAAGCCAGCATCACCCGGGAGTCAGGACATCCTGAAGCTCATAACTCTGAACCACCCTCACAAGGATGGGAGTCAAACCCACGCGTGCAGAGCACAAAGGACTGGCGGTTCATTGGCTTCAGCTCTCAGCCACCTCCTCCATGCCGCAAGGCGGGCTGAGATGGGCTGCTGACTGAGTGCTGAGCCTGCGGGCTGTTAGCGCAGATGTTGCAGTGCTCTCTCTCAGCACGAGCGAGCCGGTGGGTGATAGATGGACTCTACATGTCTTATATTTCACGCTGCAGCCTTATTGTTGAAACAGTGATGAAGTTTGTGCTGCATTTGCAGAAGATCACAGGAAACTCGCACTCTTGCAGCTCTGCAGCGTCGTGGACTCGAGACTCTCGGGTTTGGAGGACACGGCAGGTTTGGATGGGCAGTAAACAGCTGCACACATTCGAAGAGGCTCATGGTGCTGCTGAACCCGACCGCCAACGGCTCCTTGAGGAAAGCTCTGCAGCTGGACAGCATATCTCCGGTCTGCCGGAGCAGGCGGGCATCGAGCACACTACCATCTGAGCTCAGACTCAGCATGAGGTGAAGCCAGAGTCCCTGTACCAGGTGGCCGAGAGGTTAAGGCGATTGACTGCTAATCCATTGTGCTCTTTACCAAATGGACCCTCCCAGCCTTGCCGTATTGGTCTATTTGATTCACCTTTACTTTTATTGTTTATTTTCTTTTATTTTCACTTGCTACACACGGGACAGACATGACTGGGGAGAAAGAAAAACAGCGGAGAAGAGAGACGGGGATAAAGGGCAAAAAACAAAAACCAACAAAACAAATAGACAAAAGATACAAATATCAATCACCTGGATCACCTGTTGAGAAAGAAACAAGAAAACAAGCAGAAGAGAACAAGAGTAATAGAATAAACAACATCACAATGATATATGGGAATATGACAGTAAATACTAAATATTAAACATTATTGTGCAGCA